TGAAGTCGGAGCTTAACCGACTGCGCCACCCAGGCGCCCCTGCAGTGGAGTCTTTGACAGGGCTTCAAACCTCTCTGAACCTCAGTTTCTTCTTCTTTGGAAGGAATAGCTACCATCTGTCCTTTCTAACTAAGACGTTGGCAAGGAAATAAGGAAGGTGACAGATGAAACGTTATTAAGCTCAAACTAGAACTGGCACTCAACAGCTGGGGAGAAGTGTCCACAAGAATATTTGGTAGCAGCAGTGGTGCTAAGAGCAAAGGTATTCTGACTTTCTGCATGAACTGAGCCTTCCCTTGCTCTGTCTTCATACGCAATCCAAGCGTCCAAGGAGTGTGAGAGAAACTGAGAGTGCAGAGCTTCAAAGAGCTGTTGTGTCACAATAGTATCTGGATGCTAAATTACAGGATACAAATATGTATTGCATGTGCACACATTCATGGGCATTTGTGGGTGTGGATGTGTGCATGTGTGACTGTGTGTGTGTGTTCATTTGATGGGATTAGATAGAGACCCAGGTAGAAGGCTACAAGGTCTTTCTGGCAACAAATACCTGAATCTCATGAAAAGCAACCAAAAGGGAAAGAAGGGAAAGCCAATGAATATTAACTTTCTTTTAGGTCCACTTCTCAGTTTCCAGTACTGAGCAAACAGCCCAGTAACTCAGATGCTATGACTGTCCCTGTGTGAAAACATTCTGGTTGACCTTTCTCTTTTGAGAATCTAATTTATAGTAAAAACCAAAGTAAGAACTTTGATCTCTCATCATATTCTTTTCCCAGGCTCTTAAACCTAGTAAGTTACCCTTCTCCCCCTATTTGTCCCTCAGACACCATACCAGAAGTTTTTCATGTTTTGCAAATTCATGCCATCCTTCATGAATCCTGGTAACTGAAGGTTCTATCAATGCCAGCAGATCAGGCTGACCTTCCCCCCCGCCACACACACATAATTATTTCTCTATTGTAGTAAGAATATTTAAGGTTTACTCTCTTAGCAACTTTCAAGTATATAACACAGTATTATTAGTTATAATCACAACACCATACATTATATCCTTATTCATCTTCTAACTTTGTACTTTTTGTACAAACAAAAGTTTGTACTTTTTGACCAACATCTCCCTACTCTCCCTACCCCCCAGCCCCTGTTAACTACCATTCTATTCTCTGTCTCTGCAGATTTGGCTTTTTTAGATTTCACACATAAGTGATATCATGCTGTATTTGTCTTTCTCTGACTTGTTTCATTTGCACATGATGTCCTTGGGTCCATCCAAGCATTACCAATTATAATTAACCTATAACATTGTGTGGGAAATTCTCAGTCATTATTGTTTCAAATATTTGTTCCGTTCTTTTCTCTCTTCTCCTTCTGGTATTCCCATTACATGTATGTTTCACCTATGTAGTTGCCCCACAGGTCTTGAGTATTCTGTTCTGGGTTTTTTTTCCCCCATATTTTTTCTCCTTGTTTTTCAGTTTTGGAGGTGTTTACTGAGATAGCCTCAAGCTCAGAGATTCTTTTCCTCATCTGTATCCAGTCTACCAATAAGCCCATCAATGACATTCTTCATTTCTATTACAATGTGTTAGATCTCTAGCATTTTTTAAATCCTTTCTAAGAATTTCCATCTCTCTGCTCAAATTGCCTGTGTGTTCTTGCATGCTGTCTACTCTATCCATTAGAGCCCTGAGTATTTTAATCATAGGTGTTTTAAATTCCTGGTCTGACAGTTTCAACAATACTGTCATACTGAGACTGGTTCTGATGCTTGCCTGTCTTTTCAACGTTAATTTTTTGCCTTTTAGTATGCCTTCTGTTTTTTTCTTCAGAGCCAGACATGTTGTGCTGGGTAGATGGAAGTGCTCTAAATGGGCCTTTATTAATGTGTTGGTGAAGTTTGAGGAGAATGAAGAAGCTCTGGGGTCCTATGATTAGGTCTCAGTCTTTTGGTGAGCCTGTGGAGGCTGACCTTTTACTAAAAACTTTTTACTGGAATTGGTTCACAAGTGGACTCAGTCTTGCATATTACTCGATTATTCAGTATGTGCCGAGGCTGACATGGATTTGCACAGATAGCCTCTCTGTGTGTTTCATTTAGTCTCTAACAAAAGGACTACTTAGAGGGGAAGAGGGAGGCTGGGAAGGATCCCAGGTGACCTATGCCACCAGCTGTGACACAATGTCTTTTCTACTCACTGCCAATTTGTGTCAAATCTGTACCAACTGTATTATCAAAGGGCTTCCACCCAGGTTCCTTATTGGGTAATGAAACTCATCTGCTGGCGCAATATTTGCAATGGCAACAATATCCTTAGGCTGGGGGTGAATGGCTTTCTGCCTACGCAAGATCAAACGCTTGGCGCATCTGTCTATAAAGTTAAAGTGACTTCAGATGACCCCCTACAGAACTCTTGGCTACACCAATGGACACGTCCATCCCATGGCTCTGTGTTTATAAGAAGGTGGGTCTGCGTCCAGTTAGTGGCAGAGATGTAGTAACACCCCAGGTATTTGCTAGAAAATATAGCCTCAAAGTCATTGCTACTCAATACCTTTCAAAAGCTCAACCAAGAACAATAGTATTTATTGGAGAATTTCCTGAAGGGTATGTGGCCATCCATTCCTCTAGATATTCTAAATCTCTCCTTGAACTATCCAGACCATCCCTACAATGAATCATACTGGGCCCCATTAGAACTGTTTTCTCTGATCAGGTGATGTAACTGGCCTAGAAAGAGGGATACAACATGAAACTGCTCTATGTAACTTGTCACTTCGTTTTTGCCATGAAGTCACATTACATACTGTCACGTCTATAAGGATCCACGAGAGAAACCTCTCTGGTCTTAGTTCTAAGAACAGTTCCGCTTCTCTTGGGCAACTGGACTGTTTTTACCGGATTGGGGCGGGGGGAGTGGGTAACTATGTTGGATGCAGTTGGTCATGTTTCCCATTTTGCTCAGAATGCTCAGAATTAAATCTGTAGCCTGCTTCTTTTACTAATCAGAACTTGCTGACATGCATTTCGCTGATTAACTCCCCCGCTCCCCCCAGCTATATCTATACCTTGTTTTGTCCTTGTCTTTCTTTGCTCATTTTTAATTGATTTTATTTTCCTGTGTTGAATAAATTTTGTTAGACCATTTTTTAATGCTTTTGAACAAACTGAAATATATTAGGAAAATGAGAAGCCACAGCAAAGCAGCAGATTAAACATAACACGTGAAATTTCTCTGAATTCTAATCTTAGGTTTCTCATTAATACACCAGATAATGAGCAGGAATAAATTTTAGATCTATGACAAGCTTAATGTTAAAGCCTAAAGAATAAGAACACACAGACATGATAAATAATGAGAGAAATTCAGAAATCAAGTTATGAAAGATAATGTATTCCAAAACCCACTGTCAGCCTCTCAACTCTTTCAGCCTTTTCTGGGAGTCCATTACAAAAGGCCCTGATGCTTCCTGTATCTTCTACCTGATGACAACATTTCACTGCTATTAAAAAACACAGTACTCCAAATCACCTACCGTGTTTGTGAATAAATGCAAGTCCTTGTAATATCTGATACATGATATTCCTTATAGCAGATTCAGGAAACAACTTATTTCTGTATGGGGCAGAGGAGGAAAAAAGTCGTAAGTCTAGATTTACATATGAATCTGAATACCCTGTGTTCATGTTCTTTTGGTTATATAGTAAGATTTTAAGAAAACATTTGTTCAGACACTAATCTGACCAGATCCTCTGATAATAAAGACCAAAGAGAAACAACCATTTGTCCACACAAGATGGCTGCCTTGTAAACACTGGTGTATTGGTATATTGGTAATTAGTATATTCAGTTATGTTACAAAGAAGATTAAAAATCATAGTAACCACCCCCCCCAATCCCTCCAATCTATCATATAAAAATCTTCTCTCTTCATAATATAAAACAAAACTTCAAAAATTTTAATGGGGACAATCTGAGGTCTTCCAGATAAAGTCCTTATGAAACATAGTGGATCCTGCCATATTCCCTTGGTTGGGCAAACCTTACAGCTTCAGTGTTGCTAGTGACAATGAGGATGGCATTTGTTCACCGAATCCACGCAGAGAAGCTGTGAACGGCACTCACTTGCCACTAGAAAAATATACCCCCAGGGTTCTACATGGTTCACTTTCAGAGTTAAAAATGACCACAGCAGGTGAGTTTTTTATTAGTGTCCTCTTCCCAACACATAAGCCCCTGAGCACTATAGCAAGAAAGGAAGTGCAGTCAACCTACAAGTTTTCAGTGGAGGTCTCAAAATAAACAAAGCTGTCACACCCTGACCTGTAATTGTTCTGCCCATGTTTCCTTGTGGGAACGAGGGCTGCAGAGGACCTGTTCAATCTGAGCTTTTCTGCACGAATAACCCACCGAAACACGAAAACGGCTGCATTGAAAGTAGCTTCTGTGATGCTATCATGAGGCCTCCAAAGCAGGAATGTGGGTTGGGCCCCTCATCTAACGGGCAGCTTTAAACAGTGAAGCCTAAGTAGCACGACTGCAACAAACAAAAACAAAAAGAAAACCCATCCACTTTGCAATATTTATTTCTAAAGTCATGATGACCAGACTGTACCTTTCTTTAATGAGCTGGTAAAGATTTTCCTTCATGTACTCGAAGATAAAATAAAGATGATCATTTTCCCTGATAACTTCTTTTAATTTTACAACATTGGCGTGGTTGAGCTTCTTTAAAGACTGAAAGGCAAGGGGGAAAACACAAAAAATTGGAGGAAATCTGCTGTTGAGAAAGAAAAGTAATCCCACATATACTTAGGAAGAAACATCTAATTCCAGAACCTCAGAAATGCCGCAATTCCTATTTTATTGACAATTTAACAAACGGTATTTCTCTGAAGTCAATAACAACTTTACGTAGAAAACTGTTTTGATTAGCTGACTAGAAAGTAAGCGCTTGATTATTACTGGTATTTCTGGCTGCATCCTGCGCCAGGCAAGGGGCCAGAACTATTTTAGGTGCAGTCCCTCCAGATGATGGAATTCATGCCATGAAAATGGCCAGAAGGGAACCAACTGGAAGCTGAAGCTTTGGTTGTTCGTATTAGAGAAGGCAGCTGCTCTGGGCTGAGATGACCAGCCAACAGTCTGCAGACCCTTTGGACAGGAAATTGTTCAAATAGACAAGAGGCTCATAGCCCAAGGCTCTCAATTTCCCTCTGACTCATGTGTGTCCATGAGGCACACAGCACTCCTTACGATGTGAGTTTTAAAGGAGAAAGGAGGAGGAGAAATCTCACTGCAAAGACCCTGAAGTGAGATGGGAGAAATAGCTCCGCTTCTAAGAACAGCAAAGGCGAAAACGTCAGGCAGGGGATGAGAAACAAGAGGGTGGCTCAGAAAACGGGGCGTGACCTGATTCTTCATCTTGGCGCACATGCAGTTTTCCTGTTCCTGGCACATCCATGTGAGTACAGCCACGCGTAAACTATTTTCTGTTTGCATTATTAATTTTGTTGATGGGGAAAGAGTACACTTTTGTATTTGTGAGCAGCAATCCTGTTCATGTACGACAGCTAGAGAAACTGCTGGTTTGCTCACCAGATGGTCAGAACCTGATTGACAGTCTCCTTCAAGGGAGCCTCAAAGGGCTGCTGGACAGTGGGATGAGCTGTTCAATTCCAAAAGGCTTTTCCTCACAGAAGTGACTCCAATAAGAATACACTGTAAAGCCCTCCTTATGTTTGACATAGCATGAATAGGGGTCCAGCAGAGAGAGAGGGAGACACAGAATCTGATGCAGGCTCCAGGCTCTGAGCTGTCAGCACAGAGCCCGATGGGGGGCTCAAACTCACAAATCGCGAGATCATGACCTGAGCCAAAGTTGGACGCTCAACCGACTGAGTCACCCAGGTGCCCCTGCGAATATCCAAATCTAGAAAGACAGTAATAACGCACCCAAAGAATCAGAGCTTGGGAGTGCTATAATATGATAGAGTAACTTCAAGCAGCTGGGAAGGGAGAGGAAATGTGGCCAGTGAATGAGAACAAAATAAAACTCTTCAGGAGGTTCTTCCCTGAAAGACAAGCTCCCACCAAGGAGCCCCTCTGGCAGGAAAACCTCAACCAAAGGACAGATCCTTCTAGAATCACCCAACGTGGCTGATTACCTGTTTCAGTTAAGTTGGCTTCCAGGTTCTCCAAAAGTAACAAGCACAAACATTGCTTGGCTTGTAAGTATTCACCCTGTGGCCTTCTTTTCTACCTATTTGCTTAAAACGCATCACTGCGATGGCTGAGATGCCCAGTGGATAAGCAGAATGAATGGGGCAAATTAATTCAGGGGAAAATGAAGTAGGTTTTTAAGCTTTTCGAGACGGGGATTCTAGGCAAGGAGTAGGGTACCCTCCATGCTTGGCCTGATGTATGTTTTGAGCACAAATTGCTGGCTAAGAAGTCTAAGAAGGGCTAGCAGTTCTTTGTTTGTTTGTTTGTTTGTTTCTTCTTCTTCTTCTTCTTTTAATGTTTATTTTGAGAGAGGAAGAGAGCTTGAGAGGTCGAGTGGAGGAGGGGCAGAGAGAGAGGGAGAATGAGAGAATCCTGAGCAGGCTCCATGCTGTCAGCATAGAGCCCAATGCAGGGTTCAAGCCCACGAACTGTGAGATTATGACCTGAGCCGAAACCAAGAGTCAGACACTTAACCGAGTGAGCCACCCCCGTGCCCCTTGCAGTTTTTTTCTGAGCAAGGATCACGGGCAAGTTAAAATCTACATTAGTTTAATATAAAAGGGATTAATTGTGTGGGGGGAATTTCATGTGACTCATTTTACAGATAGAAGGCATCTTATTTTGGCCCAGGAAGAGTTTATAAGGAGAGGAAAAGGCAGGACAATTAGAGCAGAGAAGCAGAAATAGCAAATTAAACCCAAGTCAGCAGTCCTAATAGAGATTATTTATCCCCATTTGGGTGACGGTTCTTAACTATTAACAAAACTGCAATGTATTGCTCCCCAAAGGTACCCTGGGGCAGAAGACACAGTCCTTGCCTAGATGAGGCAAACAGCCTAATAGGGAAGAGAGGACACAAATACAAAATCCATAAAACAGAATAAGGGAGATCTTCTTAGGGTCAAGAGAATGACAGAGACAAGGAACATCAGAAACATTTCAAGAAGGAGTAATCAGCAAACCCTGAGTGGTCAGTGAATATGTCATCTGAAATGTGACTTGAAGGAAGAGTACCATCCAGATAAAGAAGTCAGTGGAAGGGAAAGAGTGAGTCCTGAAAGAAGCCCTTCTTAGGTATGGGCGTGGGAGTGGAGGGGAAGTCGGCTATGCCTGAGGGATGAGAACTACCCCAGTTAGGTTCTAAAGGAGGCTCGCCCAGAAGACTTCAACTGGGGAAGTGGGCAGGGAAGGCACTGTTTGGATGCCAGGTATACACCCACTGAAGCTAACAAATGTGGGTTTGAAACAAAGCTCTGTGGCTTAGAGTTGTATTTACCTCAAGCCAAGTTACTGAGTCTCTGGGCCTGAGCTATTCTCAGCAGCAAACTCAAGATACTAAAATTTTCCTCATGGGGTAGTTGTGACGATAAAATAAGACAGTGCATGTAAAGCACCTAAGGTGCTTCCTGGCTCATAATAGCTTCTCAGTAAACGGTACGTAGTGTGTGAACAGCTGAATATAATGGAGATCTTTCTGGGAGCAGCACACAGGAGGGGTGAGATATGGAGGGAGTGAGGTCACACAGGCACCTGCAATGAGCTGCAGTTTGTGGGTGAAGGAGTAAATGATAATTAACAGAAGAGGGGAAAAACAGGACGACTGGGGAAGCAGACATTCTAGAAAATTTAGGCACTGATGTCCACTAAGCAGCTGGATATATGGGCCTGAAACAGGTGTCAGCAAGCTTTTCTTAAAGGGACTGAGAATAAATATTTTAGGCTTTCGAGGCTATGTAGTCCCTGCAGCAACTACTCAACCTTGCCATCAAAGCGTGAAATCAGCCATAGGCACTACAGAAACAAGTGGGCATGGCTGTGTTCCAATAAAATTGTATTTACAGGAACAGGACGTGGCCACTCATCAACTCCTGGTCTAATGCGTACACAGGATAAGAGATTTGGTGAGACCACTGAAGCAAGGCAAAGATATGAAATTACTCAGGAGGAGGTTCAGAGCAAAGAAGAAAATTGCTAAGGATGGAATGTAAGAAATTATCACTATTTAAATTTTTTTTTTTCAACGTTTTTATTTTTGGGACAGAGAGAGACAGAGCATGAACGGGGGAGGGGCAGAGAGAGAGGGAGACACAGAATCGGAAACAGGCTCCAGGCTCTGAGCCATCAGCCCAGAGCCTGACGCGGGGCTCGAACTCACGGACCGCGAGATCGTGACCTGGCTGAAGTCAGACGCTTAACCGACTGCGCCACCCAGGCGCCCCAGAAATCATCACTATTTAAAGGGTGAACCACGGAGCACTTGCTGAGGCAAGAAAGAGGTGGGACAGCTGGACAAAAGCAGAGTTACACAGTCCTGGGAGAGGACAGCATCCAACACCACAGGCATAAAAATGTCTGAAAAAATGAACTGGATTTGGCAACAGGTGACTTTTAGGACAGCAGCTTCAGTAGAGGTGCAGGGGCAGATGCCTGATTCAATTACATGGACAGTCCATGGCAGGTGGGGAAATGATGGCAAAGGGAGAAGGGAAGGGGTGGAAGGAAAGGGAAGGGGTGGAAGCTCCCAGAGAGAGAAGGCTGAGGCTGATTAGGGAGAATGGCAGGCACGTATATTTATTTATAGGCTGAAGAGAAGGAGCCAGTGGAAAGGAAGAGCTTAAAGAAATGGGAAGGTCCAGGGGCGCTTGGGTGGCTCAGTCGGTTAGGCAGCAGGCTCTTGATTTCGGCTCATGTCATGATCTCATGGTCGTGGGATTGAGTCCGATGTCAGGATCCGTGCTGAGTTTGGAGCCTGCTTGAGATTCTCTCTCTCTCTCTCTCTCTCTCTCTCTCAAAACAGACAAACTTAAAAAAAAATAAAAGAAATGGGATGATTCACAATAGCCAGAAGGTGGGGAGCAACCCAAGTGTCCACCAACGGATGAATGGATAAACAAAATGTGGTCTGTACCTACAGTGGAATATGATTCTGCCTTAAAAAGGAAGGAAATTCTGACACACACTAAGACACGAACCTTGAAGAATCTTGAAGACTTTATGCTAAGTGAAATAAGCCAGTCACAAAAAGACAAATGCTGTAATGATTCCACTTACATGAGGTACCCAGAGTGTTCAAAGTCATAGAGACAGAGCGTAGAATGGCAGTTGCCAAGGGTTGGGGGATTGGTCATGAGGAGTTACTGTTTTGTAGGTAGAGTTTCAGGTTTACAAGATGAAGGGAGTTTTAGGGGTGCCTGGAGGTGAAGGCTGCATAGCAGTATGAACGTATGTGATACCAGCAAATGTACACTTACAAACTGGTAATAGGGTACATTTTACATATGTGTGTTTCATCACAATTTGAAAGAAAAAGGATATTAGTGGGAAACTAGTGAGATCAAAATAAATCCGTGGTTTATCTAATACCAAAGTTTAAAAAAGTATATTCACCAATATAATGGCATGGCAACCTTCTCCCTTGAGCTATTAGCTGTATAATGTTGTCATTTGCCCCCTTTTGTTGGCATCAATGAAACAATTCAAACAGCATGACTAACTCCAATCAATCACAAATCTAAGCATGTATAAAGCTATTTTAATCAACCATACATAAATTATCCCCTGGTGTATTAATAAATACCTTAACCTCCCGAAGGTTCATGCATTCCTCCCAGGAATAAAACTTTCTTTTCATTCTAAAAGAGAACAAAGAAACAAATAGCATGCTTATTCCCAGTAACAGGCTAAACTTTCTTGTTCAAAAATGTTTCCATTCTAAATCCAGTGAATAGTGCTTAGAGTTGGTTTCAATTTCTACCAAATATTACACTATCCAAAACAGCATTCTATTTGACAATCTGGCAGTGCGATTGATGCCACATCACAAAGCTGCCCCAAAGGGATGGTACAGTGCAGTCCAAGGAGGCTTCGCCTGCTGTCTTGTTCTATCACTAATTGGCTAACCTTGCCCTGGAGGCAAATCCCTCAGGCTTATTTGATCTATACTAGAGCTCTCCAATAGAACTTTCTTTTTT